ATTTATCAAGGGGTGAGATTCAATGCAACTATGCATATGTGCTTTAGCACTTTCCTTACTAAAATTACTTACAATTATTGTATTATATTATTACTACTTGCGTCTCACGTCCAATCATTGCATGCAAATACAGCTGCAAATTAAAATATTTTTTAATTAAATACCTTTTTCCTGCGTATAATAATTAAGATATACATAGTGGAAGAAAAAGTTCATACACTGAATTTAGCTTCTCTAAATTAAAGGTTAAAAAATATACTTCAAGAAGAAAATGTCAACCTCGTTGAATGTGAGTCTATTAAAAAATATTCAATCATCTTAAAAAAAATCGTATTTAATTTTCTTAGAATGAGATCAATTAATTCCGAAATGGAAAAAGAAACACACCGTGTTGTATGGATATACAAGATAACATATACATATATACTTATATTAATAGTATATATATATATATATATATATATATATATATATATATATATATAAGAAATAACCTTTAATGACTTAATTGGAGAAGCTAAAACTCATACAAGTAAAGTTTATGTGAAAAATTAGTTTTATGATTTTGGGTCATGAGATATATTGTTTTAAAAATTTATATGGAAATTAAATTGATTTTATATTGTAGTATATTAAAAGGTTAAATAACAATGCAATACAACCATGTATTTGTGCTTTATCACTTTAGTTTCTAAAATAATTACTACTTGGAGCACCACCAATCATCGCATGCAAATAGAGCCGCAAATTAACATCACCAACATTTTTAATTAAATACATTCTTTTGTACATATGATAATAATAATTAAGACATAGCCATTAAAACTAATTTTCAATTATTGATTACAAGGATCTTTGTCGTAACTTAGGATTGAATTTGCAAGCCGAAAAAGTAAATTTAACGAGCCAACATAGAACGGTGGATATTTAATCACAGAAAGCAAATTTGAATGAAGATGATAAATAATTTTGAAAAATGATAGTTGCACATTTTTTATTCAAAGTTGTAAATTCTTTGTATTTCTCTAAATATATGAAAGATAATACTCGAAACTGATATTTTGTTTTTTTAAACTAATCCACATCAAACATAAAGTTAACAAATCAAATTGTCATTAACAAAACAATTACATTTTATTTACAAAATGCTTCCTTAAATGTTATAAAAAAGATGACAAAATCATGAACAAAATTATATATTACTATATTTTTAAGAATTTATCTGGGATGTGTTTGCAAGTTTCTTAAAATACAACAAAAACTTCTAAAAAATTTATGAGAATTTCAAAATTAGTAAAAAATTCTAAAAAGATTAAAAGAATAAATCTAAGATATAAAAAGAATAATAAAAGAAAAGAAGAAAAACTAATAAAATAATTTAAGAAATAAAATTTACTTTTGAGAAGAGAAAACTTAATCTTAGTCAAAAACAGCTCTCAAAAAACTTAATCTTATTCAAAAACAGTTATTACAATAATCAATATTAAAAAATGACCGTTGACAAACTTTAATGAAAGAAAGGAAAAAAAATCTATACATTTATAAACATTAATGTGAAAATAAAAACTGTTAGTGATCAACCTTTGAAATTAACGTTTCTTTTATTATTATTATTTTATAACATAAAATGCATAAGGTTTTTTTGTCATCGATTAAATTTATTAAAAAATAGAAACATAAATAAAATTTATTAACAAGAAATAAGCAGACAAAAAATTTGTAATTTTAAATAAATTTAGCAAATAATAATTTTGTTTTTGGAGAAAGTAGATTTGTAACACGAAAAAAAGTTCAAGCGTCTTTGTGGAAAAAGTAAAATGAGAGTGAGGGAGGTCCACAACGTGAGCCTCGAACTATAAAATGGCGTAGCAGCGTTCCATAAGGTGGAATCAAGCTACTGTGATCGATCATCACCAATCTCTTTCGAAGATTCAAAATGACAAACTCGAAAACACTGATTATGTGCTTCTTTCTACAAGCCATTATTGTTATGGTTACAATACCAGCAAGTCACTGCAGAAGCTTTCTTCCAAGCAATGAAAATATGATAGAGAGCACTTGCAAGAGAACACCCAACTACAATCTCTGCCTTCAAACACTGAAGGTAAGCCCTGGAAGCTCCACAGCTGATGTCTCGGGGCTGGCTCTTATCATGGTCAAAGTGATGAAAGCCAAAGCAAACGATGCCTTGAAAATAATCCATGACTTGCAGGGGAAGGGAGCAGGACCTAAGCAGAGAAGAGCCTTGAGTTCTTGTGCCAGTAAATACAAAGCAGTGTTGATAGCTGATGTTCCACAAGCCACCGAGGCTCTGCAGAAAGGAGACCCCAAGTTTGCTGAGGATGGAGCCAATGATGCTGCTAATGAGGCTACCTTTTGTGAGAGTGATTTCTCTGGGAAATCTCCACTCACCAAACAGAACAATGCTATGCACGATGTTGCTGCTATTACTGCTGCTATTGTTAGATTGCTGCTCTAGATTTTCAACTTCCTCGAACCAGTACTTAGTTGTATTCACTGATTGTTGCAGATGTCTTGGAACCTGCTCTTGCCTGTTATGTAAAAAAAAAAAGCTGGTATCTATTTTAAAGCTCTTATAATAAGTTATATGTAATAAAATCCAAGCCTCTCGTGATTCTGATTTGCATTGAGACTAGTATCGTAATTCCTCTTTACTCTGATTTTCATGTGAAGATTTGTATATTTTCATTTGCTTTTGCTGGTAATGGTTTTAAGAAAAGGGTTTGCTATCACAGCTACGTAAGGTCGTGGAGTCTGTATGCTCACATGGTTGAGTCTGGACAATATTTTTAATGGAGAAACAAAAGAGGAGTTTTTCTAGAAGTCGTACAAATGGTAAAAATTTAATTTTTTTCAAAAAAATCGCGTTTTTCAGAAATATCAAGAATTATGGTGAAACTGTTAGTTAATTACGTTTTACCTATGTTTTCTTTTAAAGACAAAGCTACTTAAAAATACAGTAAAGTTATGTTTTTCACATTTGTTCAGCTGTTTTATCATAAGATCAAATGACATTATTATTGAATGACAGAAAGTTGAGTTTTTGGAAGAAATTTATTCTTGTATGAATGTTAACAAAAAGAGAGAGACCCATGAACATGATTTATGAATTATTGGGAATTGAGGATAGGCATAACTGGTATATTATTCTTGTGTATGCTTTTTTTCCCTCCCTCCTCACTAATGCGTGTCTCATTCTTCTTTAGCAATGGTGGGGTAGGGTAGGAAGAAGTGATAAGGATAAGTGAAGGATATTAATCTGTGGGTGTGGCTTGTCCTTTTGTGGTGATTATTGCTGTTTTAAGGTGGTTGGAGATCATGTTCCATCCAAATATCCAAACACGGCTCTTCATTATAGCATCTATTGTGGGAAGGGATCATATTTGGTCACTCTAAAGAGACAACACTCCTCATCAACCTTTCACTTTGGCCTTCTTGTCCACAATCGCTCACCACCTTGGTTCCTATTCCAATGTCTGCCACGTAATGTACAAAATTTTTATGATGTTTTAGTCTTTAATCACAAATTAGGTCTATTCCGTGCTCAAACAAAGTACTAAATTATTCTAGAAAATGGTAGGAATAACTAAAATAATTTCATGTTCTCTGCTCCTAAAGCAAGACAGAGAGACCCACAACGGTGATCCCTTCCGTGCACGGCACAGATTCATAACTACAAAAACAAAGGTAAACAATTTTTCAGTTCTGAGAAGACATTGTTGTTCCATCCCCACATCATTTTTTTCTCATTTTCCTAAAGCATGAAGCCACCATCTTTTATTTTTTACACTGTTGTTATAGCAACAATTTCGGTGCCAGCAGCCACTAACTGCAGAGTCGTTCTGCTAAACAAGGCCAATCTGATAGAAGAAACATGCAAGCAGACACCCCATCAGAATCTTTGCATCCAATACCTCTCTTCTGACCCTCGCAGCGCCGATGCAGATATTGCAGGGCTAGCTCTAATCATGGTCAATGTAATCAAAACCAAAGCAAATAATGCCTTGGACAAGATCCAACAACTTCTTCAGGGAAGCCATGAACATTCTCAAAAGGAAGCACTGAATTCTTGTGCTGGTAGATACAAGACAATTCTGGAAGCTGACGTGGCACAAGCCATTGCTGCTCTGCAGAAAGGAGATCCCAAGTTCGCAGAAGATGGTGCGAATGATGCTGCTGTTGAGGCCACCTCTTGTGAGAACGGTTTCTCTGGGAAATCGCCACTCACCAATGAGAACAATGCCACGCATGATGTTGCAGTCACAACAGGAGCTATAGTTAGACAATTGCTCTAGTTACTTACTCAAACAAATGATGCAATTTCGTATTTATAATGTCATATTCACTATCCTATAATCATATATTATAGTATGTTGTTTGTATGGTGTCCAATAAAATGCTATTAACTTGAGCGGCATCATAGGGGCATACTCTCTTGTTAATCTCATCTGTTTCGGAAATACAATTGTTTTTGCCACTTCCACAATTCTCACGATTTCTTTGTTGCCAATTTTCATTTGATTGATTAATTATTGCGAAATAATTGGCCGAGCTTGAAGGTGTAGCATGAGACCTGATATGTCTCTCTGTCTTGTATTTCTTTCTTCTGATGTATAAGCTATTTAGTCTTTTCAACAACTCTTTGGTAATCAGAAGATCCTTGATATTTTGATCAAGACAGTTTTATCTGAGTGAAGTTACTGACATTTTAATTCATCTATTCACACCCCTAACTTTTCTTTTTATTATTCATGTCCTATTTTCAAACTTGCTATTTAAGTATTACTGTTTATATCTTATGTTGTAGGGGTGGTAGTTTCCCAATAGAATCATGCAGTTATTGGAAAAAAGGGTCTAAGCAACGTTGTTACTTGTGTTTTTAATTTGAACTATTTTCTGCTACATGCTAATATTTGTGACAAACTGACATAATGTGAAGCTGAGGCAACTAATGGCTTTAACCAGTGCTTGGAAAACTCTTACTAAAAGCCGATTCAAGTATTCATTAATATTTACTTCCATAGCAGTAACATAGTTCGCCCCTTCTAATGATCAATTAGTATGAAACAACCATATTGCTTTTACATAGGGCAATACCAGCTTTAGAACTAGAATTATTATTTTTGGTTATAAAGGAAAGGCTAAGACTAGTTAACAGTTCGGCAGTCCCTACGAATCTGGCCATTACTTGGTGATCCCAAGCTTCCCATTTTCAACATTGAATGTTTGAAGTCTTCAAAGAAAGCTAATGGGTTCTCCACATAGTTTTCCACAATCTGTCGTGTCTGATCATTTCCATTCACAAGAGTCTGGTCTGATGGGAGCAATCCCTCCCCAGAGAGAAGATTAACGAAGTATTGGTTATCAAAGGTAGCAGGTGTAGCCAAGTCAAGATGTGCAACTATGTTACCATTATCTGACCCTGAGCACAACTGTTGCAATGATGCGATGAAATCAATGTTTTCTGAGTCGCTACTACTCTGTAATCTAGAGCTGAATGTTGTGCAGCGTGCTTTCCCTATTGTGTGTGCACCTGAAAAGTGGAATGGAGAAAAGAATGGTAATCTTGCTTGTTTGTCAGTGATTGATATAGAAGAATTGTTACAGCATGTGAATAGCATATTGTAAGTTGATTAACCTGAAAGGGCAACCATGTCTTTAAGTGTAAGGCCTAAATTCTCGAACTTGGCTACCAGCACATCAACAGTGGAGTTTGGACCTGGGATGTTATTATTTGCTGCATCCTTACTGGCAGTAATGCTATCTTTCCTTCCCATTTGCACCTCCCAAATTGGACCTCCTGACTGTGACATAGTAATTCGACTTCAATATGCTTCATGATGTCACAAATTGAACAATTGAGCAAGAAAATTAAAAATAATAATAATAGTTACTTATTTCATTATGTAATTATAAAATCTTTTATATTTTTGGTGCCTTTAAGATTAAAAGAGTAGTTTAAACCAAAAAAAAGAAAAAAAAAACGAGAAAGAGAGGAATGAGGTTGGGACTAGAAGGCATGAAGCAGTAACAAACCAGAAGAACTGAATCTCTTGCAGCAGTTGCCAGTATGTCAGCACAAGAGACAGTCTGTGGACAGAGTAGTTCCAGCTCAGATTTGATTTTGTCGATCACTTCAAATCCTCTGAGAGAATTCAAATTTGGCCCGGCAGTTTTCTCACCAACAAAGTCCTGTGTGTCATCCAGCAAGACTGAAGCATCACAACCCTGAAATTTCAACAAAATATTAAGCGGTTAATGAGGTTTATAGAACATTCAGAAGATAATGTGTGGAGGAAAATAATGTCTTGCATTGACAAAGCAATCATGGAAATGTAGCCTAAGCAGTGAGGCTGCCATTCTCGAGTCTTCAGCCACTGCCTGCTCCACCCAATAGAAGATAATGGCCTCAGCCTCTGGGCAAGTGTGGCGGTATATGCCACTCCCTAACGGACAACCAGGATCACCACCGTAGGCATCATTCAGGGTGGTTGCAAAGGCTGGAGTGAGCTTAAGCATCACTAGACACAATAGTACTAATTGCATGGCTATATTTTAGGGATGGTAAATTATTCTAAATGTTATTGTATGAATAGTAAGGAAGTTATTGGATATAAATGCCTACCTCTGCTCTTCTATATATAGGAACTTACTAGCAGAATGTTGTGTGAAAGTTTAATGGAAGGTGTTAACGGGGAGTTGTTGAAGACAAAGTCAAGCATAAGTAGTTAGTCGAGTCAGTAGTGTATCAACGTAATCAAAACCAAAGAAAAGAATGAATCCCTTAGACAAAACCTATCAACTACTTCCTAAGTCCTTGAACCCGGTCAAAAGGAAGCATTGAGTGTTGGTGTGCTAATAGATACAAAGCAATTGTTGAAGCTGATGTGATACAAGCAGTTGCAGCTCTGCAGAAAGGGGCCCCCAAGATCATCTGTTTTGGCCAACTCTTGCAAGATCATCTTCTCCGGGATATCAAATCAACACTCGCCAATGACAAGTTGGCAACAAGGCTATGCTTGATTAATATAATATGATATTGATCAAATTATAAATATATGTTATAACTTGTTTATCATGTCCTTCCTAATTAAAAGAGCACTATAATCCTGAATGAAATTATCCACATTTGAGAAATGCACAAAAGAGGGAGGGAGAGAAGTGCATGAAAATTTTGTCAAAATTGATAGATTGGAAAACTGTGGAACGGTTGGCGCTAAAAGCCAACAAGATATCCGTGATACAAGGAAGGATTTATCCTTAAAATCAAGGTGACGCAATTCCAATGGCCCTGCTAGCCCATGATTACAAACAGCAAACAAAACACCTGTGACCAATTATCGTATATATGAAAAAGACTCATGCATTTTGTTTTATTGGTTTCTTGTGTGAATTCTCTTTCACATAGACAATCATGTTTAAAATACTATTTAGCATTAAATGTCTGTTTTTTTCTTAACTTCTCTGTAAATCTGTTTCTTTTTTTGATGTGAGATGTTTTTCCCATAGAGGAACAAGATAAATTTTATCACTCATTTATACTATTTTAACACGTCTTTTCATCTATTTAAATTTTGGTATGTCTCATGAGAATCATATTGATTCATGGTTTAATTGTCTGTTTAATAATCTAGATGCCCATCAACAAGTAACCAGGTTGAAGGAGGTGTAAGAGACGGATCTATCTGAAAAAAGAAAAAATCTACTTCATGACCTTTTTTCTAAGAAAAGATTCAATTTTTAATCTGTCATGACTAATCACTTTCATGTGATACTCACAAGTATGCTTAAAATGCACCCAACTATAAGAGTCCAAGAAATTTTGTTCTTGTTATTTTTCAATTGGTGGTAAACAAATCTCAATTTGTTACCTTGCCAAGGACCAGCTAACTTTAAATAGCAGCCAAGAAAAAAACATGATGATTCATACCCCTACCCGAGAAAATGAGGAGCTCACTCTTTGGGTCCTTTTCNTGAGGATAGGCATAACTGGTATATTATTCTTGTGTATGCTTTTTTTCCCTCCCTCCTCACTAATGCGTGTCTCATTCTTCTTTAGCAATGGTGGGGTAGGGTAGGAAGAAGTGATAAGGATAAGTGAAGGATATTAATCTGTGGATGTGGCTTGTCCTTTTGTGGTGATTATTGCTGTTTTAAGGTGGTTGGAGATCATGTTCCATCCAAATATCCAAACACGGCTCTTCATTATAGCATCTATTGTGGGAAGGGATCATATTTGGTCACTCTAAAGAGACAACACTCCTCATCAACCTTTCACTTTGGCCTTCTTGTCCACAATCGCTCACCACCTTGGTTCCTATTCTAATGTCTGCCACGTAATGTACAAAATTTTTATGATGTTTTAGTCTTTAATCACAAATTAGGTCTATTCCGTGCTCAAACAAAGTACTAAATTATTCTAGAAAATGGTAGGAATAACAAAAATAATTTCATGTTCTCTGCTCCTAAAGCAAGACAGAGAGACCCACAACGGTGATCCCTTCCGTGCACGGCACAGATTCATAACTACAAAAACAAAGGTAAACAATTTTTCAGTTCTGAGAAGACATTGTTGTTCCATCCCCACATCATTTTTTTCTCATTTTCCTAAAGCATGAAGCCACCATCTTTTATTTTTTACACTGTTGTTATAGCAACAATTTCGGTGCCAGCAGCCACTAACTGCAGAGTCGTTCTGCTAAACAAGGCCAATCTGATAGAAGAAACATGCAAGCAGACACCCCATCAGAATCTTTGCATCCAATACCTCTCTTCTGACCCTCGCAGCGCCGATGCAGATATTGCAGGGCTAGCTCTAATCATGGTCAATGTAATCAAAACCAAAGCAAATAATGCCTTGGACAAGATCCAACAACTTCTTCAGGGAAGCCATGAACATTCTCAAAAGGAAGCACTGAATTCTTGTGCTGGTAGATACAAGACAATTCTGGAAGCTGACGTGGCACAAGCCATTGCTGCTCTGCAGAAAGGAGATCCCAAGTTCGCAGAAGATGGTGCGAATGATGCTGCTGTTGAGGCCACCTCTTGTGAGAACGGTTTCTCTGGGAAATCGCCACTCACCAATGAGAACAATGCCACGCATGATGTTGCAGTCACAACAGGAGCTATAGTTAGACAATTGCTCTAGTTACTTACTCAAACAAATGATGCAATTTCGTATTTATAATGTCATATTCACTATCCTATAATCATATATTATAGTATGTTGTTTGTATGGTGTCCAATAAAATGCTATTAACTTGAGCGGCATCATAGGGGCATACTCTCTTGTTAATCTCATCTGTTTCGGAAATACAATTGTTTTTGCCACTTCCACAATTCTCACGATTTCTTTGTTGCCAATTTTCATTTGATTGATTAATTATTGCGAAATAATTGGCCGAGCTTGAAGGTGTAGCATGAGACCTGATATGTCTCTCTGTCTTGTATTTCTTTCTTCTGATGTATAAGCTATTTAGTCTTTTCAACAACTCTTTGGTAATCAGAAGATCCTTGATATTTTGATCAAGACAGTTTTATCTGAGTGAAGTTACTGACATTTTAAATCATCTATTCACACCCATAACTTTTCTTTTTATTATTCATGTCCTATTTTCAAACTTGCTATTTAAGTATTACTGTTTATATCTTATGTTGTAGGGGTGGTAGTTTCCCAATAGAATCATGCAGTTATTGGAAAAAAGGGTATAAGCAACGTTGTTACTTGTGTTTTTAATTTGAACTATTTTCTGCTACATGCTAATATTTGTGACAAACTGACATAATGTGAAGCTGAGGCAACTAATGGCTTTAACCAGTGCTTGGAAAACTCTTACTAAAAGCCGATTCAAGTATTCATTAATATTTACTTCCATAGCAGTAACATAGTTCGCCCCTTCTAATGATCAATTAGTATGAAACAACCATATTGCTTTTACATAGGGCAATACCAGCTTTAGAACTAGAATTATTATTTTTGGTTATAAAGGAAAGGCTAAGACTAGTTAACAGTTCGGCAGTCCCTACGAATCTGGCCATTACTTGGTGATCCCAAGCTTCCCATTTTCAACATTGAATGTTNTTTCTCTGGGAAATCGCCACTCACCAATGAGAACAATGCCACGCATGATGTTGCAGTCACAACAGGAGCTATAGTTAGACAATTGCTCTAGTTACTTACTCAAACAAATGATGCAATTTCGTATTTATAATGTCATATTCACTATCCTATAATCATATATTATAGTATGTTGTTTGTATGGTGTCCAATAAAATGCTATTAACTTGAGCGGCATCATAGGGGCATACTCTCTTGTTAATCTCATCTGTTTCGGAAATACAATTGTTTTTGCCACTTCCACAATTCTCACGATTTCTTTGTTGCCAATTTTCATTTGATTGATTAATTATTGCGAAATAATTGGCCGAGCTTGAAGGTGTAGCATGAGACCTGATATGTCTCTCTGTCTTGTATTTCTTTCTTCTGATGTATAAGCTATTTAGTCTTTTCAACAACTCTTTGGTAATCAGAAGATCCTTGATATTTTGATCAAGACAGTTTTATCTGAGTGAAGTTACTGACATTTTAAATCATCTATTCACACCCATAACTTTTCTTTTTATTATTCATGTCCTATTTTCAAACTTGCTATTTAAGTATTACTGTTTATATCTTATGTTGTAGGGGTGGTAGTTTCCCAATAGAATCATGCAGTTATTGGAAAAAAGGGTATAAGCAACGTTGTTACTTGTGTTTTTAATTTGAACTATTTTCTGCTACATGCTAATATTTGTGACAAACTGACATAATGTGAAGCTGAGGCAACTAATGGCTTTAACCAGTGCTTGGAAAACTCTTACTAAAAGCCGATTCAAGTATTCATTAATATTTACTTCCATAGCAGTAACATAGTTCGCCCCTTCTAATGATCAATTAGTATGAAACAACCATATTGCTTTTACATAGGGCAATACCAGCTTTAGAACTAGAATTATTATTTTTGGTTATAAAGGAAAGGCTAAGACTAGTTAACAGTTCGGCAGTCCCTACGAATCTGGCCATTACTTGGTGATCCCAAGCTTCCCATTTTCAACATTGAATGATTGAAGTCTTCAAAGAAAGCTAATGGGTTCTCCACATAGTTTTCCACAATCTGTCGTGTCTGATCATTTCCATTCACAAGAGTCTGGTCTGATGGGAGCAATCCCTCCCCAGAGAGAAGATTAACGAAGTATTGGTTATCAAAGGTAGCAGGTGTAGCCAAGTCAAGATGTGCAACTATGTTACCATTATCTGACCCTGAGCACAACTGTTGCAATGATGCGATGAAATCAATGTTTTCTGAGTCGCTACTACTCTGTAATCTAGAGCTGAATGTTGTGCAGCGTGCTTTCCCTATTGTGTGTGCACCTGAAAAGTGGAATGGAGAAAAGAATGGTAATCTTGCTTGTTTGTCAGTGATTGATATAGAAGAATTGTTACAGCATGTGAATAGCATATTGTAAGTTGATTAACCTGAAAGGGCAACCATGTCTTTAAGTGTAAGGCCTAAATTCTCGAACTTGGCTACCAGCACATCAACAGTGGAGTTTGGACCTGGGATGTTATTATTTGCTGCATCCTTACTGGCAGTAATGCTATCTTTCCTTCCCATTTGCACCTCCCAAATTGGACCTCCTGACTGTGACATAGTAATTCGACTTCAATATGCTTCATGATGTCACAAATTGAACAATTGAGCAAGAAAATTAAAAATAATAATAATAGTTACTTATTTCATTATGTAATTATAAAATCTTTTATATTTTTGGTGCCTTTAAGATTAAAAGAGTAGTTTAAACCAAAAAAAAGAAAAAAAAAACGAGAAAGAGAGGAATGAGGTTGGGACTAGAAGGCATGAAGCAGTAACAAACCAGAAGAACTGAATCTCTTGCAGCAGTTGCCAGTATGTCAGCACAAGAGACAGTCTGTGGACAGAGTAGTTCCAGCTCAGATTTGATTTTGTCGATCACTTCAAATCCTCTGAGAGAATTCAAATTTGGCCCGGCAGTTTTCTCACCAACAAAGTCCTGTGTGTCATCCAGCAAGACTGAAGCATCACAACCCTGAAATTTCAACAAAATATTAAGCGGTTAATGAGGTTTATAGAACATTCAGAAGATAATGTGTGGAGGAAAATAATGTCTTGCATTGACAAAGCAATCATGGAAATGTAGCCTAAGCAGTGAGGCTGCCATTCTCGAGTCTTCAGCCACTGCCTGCTCCACCCAATAGAAGATAATGGCCTCAGCCTCTGGGCAAGTGTGGCGGTATATGCCACTCCCTAACGGACAACCAGGATCACCACCGTAGGCATCATTCAGGGTGGTTGCAAAGGCTGGAGTGAGCTTAAGCATCACTAGACACAATAGTACTAATTGCATGGCTATATTTTAGGGATGGTAAATTATTCTAAATGTTATTGTATGAATAGTAAGGAAGTTATTGGATATAAATGCCTACCTCTGCTCTTCTATATATAGGAACTTACTAGCAGAATGTTGTGTGAAAGTTTAATGGAAGGTGTTAACGGGGAGTTGTTGAAGACAAAGTCAAGCATAAGTAGTTAGTCGAGTCAGTAGTGTATCAACGTAATCAAAACCAAAGAAAAGAATGAATCCCTTAGACAAAACCTATCAACTACTTCCTAAGTCCTTGAACCCGGTCAAAAGGAAGCATTGAGTGTTGGTGTGCTAATAGATACAAAGCAATTGTTGAAGCTGATGTGATACAAGCAGTTGCAGCTCTGCAGAAAGGGGCCCCCAAGATCATCTGTTTTGGCCAACTCTTGCAAGATCATCTTCTCCGGGATATCAAATCAACACTCGCCAATGACAAGTTGGCAACAAGGCTATGCTTGATTAATATAATATGATATTGATCAAATTATAAATATATGTTATAACTTGTTTATCATGTCCTTCCTAATTAAAAGAGCACTATAATCCTGAATGAAATTATCCACATTTGAGAAATGCACAAAAGAGGGAGGGAGAGAAGTGCATGAAAATTTTGTCAAAATTGATAGATTGGAAAACTGTGGAACGGTTGGCGCTAAAAGCCAACAAGATATCCGTGATACAAGGAAGGATTTATCCTTAAAATCAAGGTGACGCAATTCCAATGGCCCTGCTAGCCCATGATTACAAACAGCAAACAAAACACCTGTGACCAATTATCGTATATATGAAAAAGACTCATGCATTTTGTTTTATTGGTTTCTTGTGTGAATTCTCTTTCACATAGACAATCATGTTTAAAATACTATTTAGCATTAAATGTCTGTTTTTTTCTTAACTTCTCTGTAAATCTGTTTCTTTTTTTGATGTGAGATGTTTTTCCCATAGAGGAACAAGATAAATTTTATCACTCATTTATACTATTTTAACACGTCTTTTCATCTATTTAAATTTTGGTATGTCTCATGAGAATCATATTGATTCATGGTTTAATTGTCTGTTTAATAATCTAGATGCCCATCAACAAGTAACCAGGTTGAAGGAGGTGTAAGAGACGGATCTATCTGAAAAAAGAAAAAATCTACTTCATGACCTTTTTTCTAAGAAAAGATTCAATTTTTAATCTGTCATGACTAATCACTTTCATGTGATACTCACAAGTATGCTTAAAATGCACCCAACTATAAGAGTCCAAGAAATTTTGTTCTTGTTATTTTTCAATTGGTGGTAAACAAATCTCAATTTGTTACCTTGCCAAGGACCAGCTAACTTTAAATAGCAGCCAAGAAAAAAACATGATGATTCATACCCCTACCCGAGAAAATGAGGAGCTCACTCTTTGGGTCCTTTTCTATTCTCCACATTCTTATTCTATCATGTATTCTTCTCACACCAACAACTCTTTCCTCTGATGGAGATGGTGACGATGATGGTGATTTGGTGGACCAGATATGCCGAAAGACTCCCTTTTATGATCTCTGCAGCTCCATCTTACATTCAAATCCCATGGCCCCCAAAAGTGATCCAAAGGGTATGGCCCTCATAATGGTGAACAACATTCAGGAAAATGCTACTGAGACACTGAGTTACATTGAAGAGTTGATCAAGCAAACCTCAGATGAACAATTGGAGCAGCAACTGGATTTCTGCGCAGAGTCATACATCCCAGTTGTGAAGTACATTCTCCCACAAGCAGCCGATGCCATAAGCCAAGGTCGATTTGGGTTTGCCAGTTACTGCATAGTTGATGCTCAGAAGGAAGTAAATGCCTGCGACAAGAAATTTTCTGGCTCATCTCAGGCACCCTTAAGTGATAGAAATGACATTATGCAGAAGCTGGTGGATGTGGCTGCAGCCATAGTTAAACTACTATTAAATGGCTGATTTTTTTCTCTCCCCTCTTTCCACGGGTTTCCCACACCGTTTCCGAATTCTTTCTCTGCAAAAATGGATCCAAAACCGAGCATGAGAATGGAGAGAACAGCTTCCCCCAGTTGCTCTGCAATGCTGATCTTGGCCGTTGAAACACGAATTCACACCGATCGACGATGTGCTACGCAATCGGACGGTCCATGTAAAAGCATTACTTGTTCATATTTTAATTCCATTTCATCTTAGTATATGAGGTCCTTCAATTCTTTCTTAAACTCAATTTCAGTATTTTATTAATATGATTTTGTTTATGTACTAATTTGTATTTGTTAAAATACTACTGTTTGGGCATAATTGATTATATGATTCCCTCTGCAATTAAATTGTCAGTATGCTAATGCTATATGATTGGTTAGGTTCGCAAGAAAATATACCATTAAAAAAATTAACACAGCGGACGCTAAATTTATATTTGTACTAAAAAATTGTATATATTACCTTCTTTACTCTGGAAAGAAAACAATTTTATCGATTTTATTTTCACTTTATTTCTGAATATTTTTTTCAAACTAAACAATCTTTATTCTATGTTTTTACCTATTTTTATTTTATTTTTTCACTTAACTATTTCTCCCCCAATGAAATAAATCACAATTGAACAATTCTTTACCAAAAAAATAAAGCATAATTTGTTTATCCTGTTATTTCAAATTTACTCTGACTCCATATGTTCTATTGTCATTTAAATTAACTAATATATAAGTTAAGCAACACAAATTATCATAACACAGTTTAGTTGACTAAATTTCCATAAAGTAAAATCTGTTTTATTTTAATAATTTTATTCATACCCGATGAATAGAAACAAACGTTTATATATATACCCAATGTATTAAAGTCTCAAGAGTCGGGCATGGTAATCAATCCTTCACAATGTAACAAATAAACTTAGGTTAAAATCTTCTTTATATATGTCCACATATTTAATCTTTAAGAGTGTCAAAAAGAAAAACAGATCAGAAGGGAGCAGTTAAATCTTCTGCATATATCAAGAAATCATCAACAAGAATCGTAGAAGAAAAAAGATCATAGATAACTCCGATGTCACATGAATGTGAAACCTCAATACAAGAGAGCAAGTACAGTATATAAAATTCAAAGTTAACATAACATCATCTGATAACTTTCATTTTTACTGACATAATATTCATTTCTGCAGAACCTGCTAGAAAAATGATAAGGTTGGGTGAAAAAATAAGTTAACATAATTTATATCATGGGTTGGCCCTTTTCTTTCTGTGGCTCAAAGCAGATTTTGGGTGGTATGACCTCATTCAGTTTAAAGATGTTTGGTTCAGTTTCCATGTAGGGGACCCTTTTGGATGCCTTGGCCAGGGGCACCCCTTTGCTTTGGAACCTCAAGAACAGTTCCTATTTTGTCCTCTTGTGATCCCCACCACAAGAACAGAACACCCTGTTATAAAATTGATTGGCTCTGAAAGCAAGACAGAATGTGAACTCAAGAAAAGAACATACCCAACCACACTATAATATTGAGTAATACATATCAAACAATGGTTTTGGGATTTAAAATGTACTAGATTCTCATAAAGAATTCTTAGAAGTCTCTCACTAGATATAGGACCAGACTGATTGGGAAAATGTTCAAACAAGTTGGGAGTTGAAAGCAATTGAAAATTATTGAAAGGAAATAGAGGGTGTTATGTGTTATGTGCTATTAAACTATAATTGCTTTGCTTGCCATTACTAACAAGACAAAAGTGGATAACTAGGATTCCTTAGTTGAAGCTATGCCAATTATGCTTGGTGTTAGTGTGAGTTTGTTGAAGGAATCATTGATGACTCTCTCTTGTAACCTTTAAAAAACAAAGTTCAAACAGATGCAATCATCAAAATCTTGTCTTTAATGAAGGAAATCTCAGCAATGTCCCTTGCCCCCTGGTGGTGTAATTTCATAGGGAAAAGGTTTATTGATATGAAACCAACATCATCTCGAAAGATCTCTAATTTGTCATCTTACAGCCTACAGAAGAAACTGTGAAACTGTTGGCACTAAAAGCCAGCTGAAAACAAGATATCCGTGATACAAGGAGGGATTTATCCTTAAAATCAAGCTGTAGACGCAATTGCAAGAGCACTGCTAGCCCATGGTTACAAAAACCAAACAGCACACCTGTGACCAATTATTGTAGATATGAAAAAGACTCATGCATTTTGTTTTATTGGTTTCTTGTGTAAATTCTCTTTCACATAGACAATCATGTTTAATATACTATTTGGTATAAATAAAATGTTGCTGTTTTTTTCTGGTGTGAGGTGTTTTTCCCTTGGACGAGCTAGATAACTTTCACCACTTATACTGTTTTAGTATGTTTTTTTATCTGTATGAATTTTGATGGTGGTTGATGTTAACGATAACCTTTTTATTACTGATTTAATTTGACATAGGTGTTCATCAACGAGTAACTAGACTAGGTCGAAGAGGATGCAGACCATGAATCTGACAAAAAGAAAAACGTATTTTTCTGAATTTTTGCAAGGAAAGATTCAATTTTTAATCTGTCTTGTCGTGAATGACTAATCACTTTCATGCTATAATCAAGTGGCATAAAATGCACCCAATTAAAGGAGTCCAACAATTTTTTTCTTTTTTTTTCAATTGGATGCAAACAAATTTCAATTTTTTTAATTTTCCGAGGACCAACCTAACTTTAAATAGCAGCCAAGAAAGAAGCTTGGTGATTCATTCCCCTACCAGAGAAAATGAGGAGGAGCTTACCCTCTGCGTCCTTTTTTCTGGTCCATGTTCTTCTTCTATTCTGTATTCTTCTCACACCAACTCATTCCTCTGACGGAGATGGTGACGACGATGGTGATTTGGTTGACCAGATATGCCGAAAGACTCCCTTTTATGATCTCTGCAGCTCCATCTTACACTCAAATCCCTTGGCCCCCAAAAGTGATCCAAAGGGTATGGCCCTCATAATGGTAAATGACATTCAGGCAAATGCTACTGACACACTGAGTTACATTGAAGAGTTGATCAAGCAAACCTCAGATGAACAATTGGAGCAACAACTGGCTTTCTGTGCTGAGTCATACATCCCGGTTGTGAAGTACATTCTCCCACAAGCAGCTGATGCCATAAGCCAAGGTCGATTTGGGTTTGCCAGTTACTGCATAGTTGATGCTCAGAAGGAAGTAAATGCCTGCGACAAGAAATTTTCTGGCTCATNATTCTGTATTCTTCTCACACCAACTCATTCCTCTGACGGAGATGGTGACGACGATGGTGATTTGGTTGACCAGATATGCCGAAAGACTCCCTTTTATGATCTCTGCAGCTCCATCTTACACTCAAATCCCTTGGCCCCCAAAAGTGATCCAAAGGGTATGGCCCTCATAATGGTAAATGACATTCAGGCAAATGCTACTGACACACTGAGTTACATTGAAGAGTTGATCAAGCAAACCTCAGATGAACAATTGGAGCAACAACTGGCTTTCTGTGCTGAGTCATACATCCCGGTTGTGAAGTACATTCTCCCACAAGCAGCTGATGCCATAAGCCAAGGTCGATTTGGGTTTGCCAGTTACTGCATAGTTGATGCTCAGAAGGAAGTAAATGCCTGCGACAAGAAATTTTCTGGCTCATCTCAGGCACCCTTAAGTGATAGAAATGACATTATGCAGAAGTTGGTGGATGTGGCTTCAGCCATAGTTAAACTACTATTAAATGGTTGATTAATTTGATTTCTTGTAGCATTTAGTAATTATTAGAGCTCTTATTCTTATTCCATGAATAAATGCTTTAGATGATTGAGTTTGTACAAATAGTGGTATGCTATAATTCTGTCTACTGAAAAGATGCTCTTCATAAACCATACTTTTCATACAACCTTGGTGGTGTCACTTTTAGCATTCTGGTCCCCTTTAAATTATAATTGATTGTTACATTGTAAGATGCTTCTATTTTAATTTATTTTGGAATATAATAAGTTCTTAACCCACTTTTTGAACAAATTCTGACCAAACATGCAGATAAGCTATTTCACCACAACCTCTAAACAGGGTTAAATAAATCTACAACAATTGAAATTAAGAGAGTGATTACTACTTACTAACTCCAATCAAGTCAAATTAGACAACCTACGGCTCCTAGGACTAAGAATATGCTTGTCTTGGATTTGACCACAGACTAAGTAGCAGTAGTTTTGGTTTTCTCCAGGGCTAGGTGGTAGCCTTTCATCAATTATCATGGTGTTGGTACAATTCCATTTGATATGAAATTGAATGAGGAGCAGCAAAATAGCATTGAATTGTTTCACTCATCCAAAGTCTCTGTAGTCATGAAATGGAAACTGTTGCAGGTGTCCACTTCCTTTGTGATGAAGATTGTTTTGTCAACTTTTTGTTAATTTTGTTTGTCGGATCAAGATATAGAGAAGCGGTCACATGTGAAATCACATGCCTAGTTACTCCTCAACATGCACAATAGTAGGTAGAGTCCAAACTGCCATAATGGCTTCAATCTCAGACCAAGCTTGCAAGAGTTCACACCTATTTTGAAGTGCAAATATATGCATTATTTTTTTCATGGTTGAAAGATATGCGGTGAGGGGAAGTGAAATGGATTTCCAAATGAAATGAAAATTTTATTACATGATTTTTGTCACAATGTATCTAAATAATGATAGCAGAGTAATTTAATCTAGTTTTATTATGCTTCACTCGTCACTGTCTAAATACAACTAGTGCTACACACCCTACTGTTTTTTGTCTGAATGTTGAGAAATCACTCTCTTTCAGAGGTAGTCCCTATCTTCGGTTATGTAACCGAATCTTGTAAAAACAACAATCCATGAGGGGTGTGGAAATTAGGTTTTTATACTACAATTGGACTATATAATTAATTAGTACACGTGAAATCTCAGACAAAATTAATATTCCTTTGCATTCCTTTACCCTACACCATGTTATTGAATGTGATATTAGAGTTTCCATTATGTTTGAAGTAGAAAAACAAATAAAGACAAATAGCTTTTTACGCTCAGTGTCTTCTCTGAATCTTCTTCATATTTATTTTACTTGGTTTTCTGAATTTTACCTCAGTTTTGATGTTTCTGCAACCATCTTTCTTCCAAAATGCAAGGATATCAACATATTCTGATCTTTGTTTGGTTAACTAGGTTTGTCAGTTAGTAAAAAAATCTGCTTACCCAAATGCAGAAGATAAGTTGATTAATATTATGTAATATAGTATTCCACTTTGTTGCATTCGATTATCACTTTACCATATGAAAGGCTTCACTTTCTCCCTCACATAAGAATTGGAAAATGATAAAAAGACAGGGTGTGATTATATATATAGCGTGAAGCTTGAAAAACAAAATCTCCTCCAACTCTGAATTTGAACGTGCATGCAACAAGCAGCTGCTGAGGAGGTAACATCCAGCAACACCATCATGCAATTTATAGCTCACCCCACCCCCCATTGACTAATTGACTAATAATATACATACAGGGAAAAATTGTCCATCACATTCAGTCTCGTGATAGTTGTGAAATACAGTCTGAAAGACAAGGGAAAAAAATCTTTGGTGAGAAGCACATGGGTACAATACCACATGACAATGACATTCTTGGTGTCACTACACTGACATTAATTAACCAGCGTCTCTTCTCTATTGTTTGGCAGGCAAATCTGAACCAGTGAACTGCTGTACAATTCTGCAGGGAACAATCAAGTAACATGATTATATTACAAGGTTGTCAAACCGGTGTTGCATTCTTTATGAACAAAGTAAAGAGAGAGTTCAATTCAATAACCAGTGTGCATCTCAACTTACTTGTGGTACTGAAAACCAGGTGCATTTGGGTAACTTGAAGATGGATTGAGTTGGTGTTGAACATCAACCAGACCACCCTCTGTTACTCCTGCGGGCACTGGAGATCCCTGGAATGTTGCAAGTGAACTTTTCCCAGAAGACATGCCTGTAAAGAGAACATGTCAAAAATAAAAGAGTGAATTTTTACATTACTAAGCTCATTATTTGACAGAAATGTGTTTTAAAATGAAATCGTGTCTGTTTTCCTTCTTTCCTTTTTCCTATAACAGTAAAATTATCCAATAGCTGGACATTCAAACGATCCTATAGTTGAATAAAGAACAAACAGAACAGACATGAAAAAAGGAAAAAAAAAAACAAGGTGGTATGGTGTTTCATAGGAGAATACTAAACAAACATGAACTTAAAATATCTCCCTTTACAAATACTGACACGGAATTCCACTCATCGTGTAAGTTTTGCAAAACGGTTATTCATGAATTCCCCAAATATAATACTGAAGTAACAATAATCACGAATTTGAAATGGCCAAGAATAGAAAATAAAACCAAAAGACAGAGTTGGTAATGAAATGGCAGAATCCAAAGGTAACAGAACAAGGCAAAACAATACCCAATCCAACAGTAAGCAACACTTTAATCATACAACCATGTTATAGTGCAGAAGAGTAGGGAAAAAGTGTGATATGCATTATAAGAACTACTTTGAATACAATCATTACCTTGGAGTAATATCACAATACAGAAGATAACAGTGAAAACCATAGCAAACATGCTGCTACTGGAAGACGATGAGGATGATGCCTTTGCAGCCTTCATCTTCTTCAAAGCTTTCATCCGCTCAATCCTCGCACGCTTTAACATGGCAAGTTCAGTGATCTCCCTGATTAGCTTGTGGTCAGCTGCATCAAGTGATGGAGCTCGTGGAGGTCTTGGAGGTTTGGGAGCCTTCTTGTTACTGCACTTTTTTCGTTTCTCCTTTTCTGGGGTATCATTCTCCACACATTCTACTGAGTACAACCTCCCACTCACTTTCACCATGTCCATTGAAACTACTGTTAACTTTGACTCATTGCAGCATCCACAATACCTATCCTCACCTTTTATACAAGAAATCTCAGTAAACAAAATCTTTCCTTGTTTTGTGTTACCTGGAGAAGACACATTCTTGGAGTCATCTTCAACCACTGCCAACCCACTTTCAAGATCAATTTCAGCGTCATCATTGACACTCTTATGATCCATCCCAAACCCAAAATCACAAAACTAATCCAACTTTTCTCCCTGCTTGTTACCCTACCCTACAAAATCAGGACACCCCCAAAGTGTCCCCTGAGCTGTTTCCCTAACCAAATCCTTGAACTCAATCCACAACACAAAATCACCTCCTTAACATAAAATATCACCAAAGGGATAAAAAAGAAGAAGAAAAAAACAAACCCAGTAATGGACTAGCCCTGCACCATAACAAGAAACATAATTCAATCAGTTACAAACAAGAAAAAGGTTCAAAGCAGTAATCCACCAAAGAGAAATGAAGAAAAGTATACAACTGGTGACTTAAACGAAGGAAAACTAGACAGAAAGACATAAAGTTAAGCTTTTGAAAGCAGATTAAGTCAAGCTTTGTGGAAAAGCGAATACCTTGCTTGAGGGAAAGAGAAAGAAGGCGAGATCCAATGAGAGACAAAAAGCATGAGAAATGGAGTTCACAACATCACAGGAAAACTACCTCACACAGTGCAATTTAAAGATTTCAAATAAAATTCAAAATCTTTCTGTTTCCTTTCATTGCCAGAGCCATTTCCATGTGATGCCTTCTAAAAAACTGCTCATTTATAGTACAGAGCGAAAATACTCGGAAGGAAGGACCAAAACAGCACCGCGCCGACAGTTGGCAACTCTGTTTCACCCTCTTCCTCACATTTTCTTTTATTGTTTTTATCATTATCTAATCACTTTTCTAAATCGGATTTCGTTTTCGTCAAACTTTGTCTTTAAAACATGCTTTTCAAATAGGAAAATGTTTTTTTCTAAATAAATGTCTGCTGTGTTACTGTTGACAGAACACGGTTTTAGTTAATATGATCGTGTTACAATTTTCTATTTTATTTTATTTTGTTGAATATTTTAGATTATTTAAAGAATAATTGTGTACACTTTTTTTATGGAAATTTTGGTTTTTACTTGTTCTAATTTCTAGAACACTAAGAAATTCTCACACTTCAATTTGTTCAACCGCGTTAATTTTATGACGCTTTAAAATTTAAATGAATTTTACTTTATCTATCAGTGTCACCACTCGTCTTAATCATAGGGTATGAGATGATGACACGCGTGCAAAGAAGATAAAAAAGAAAGAAAAATTATTAAAAGATATTAATCTGATGAGTGGATAATAAAAAACGAAAAAAAAAAGATTGACGTGTACGTAAATAAATCAGAATAATAAATATATTAATTAGTAATTTTATTTTTATTTTCTGTTCAAGCGTTGTTCACGTTTTTGTTACCTAATGCTGCTTTAGACACAGTTGTGTTCGTTTAATGAATACTTCTTCACCGACACTTCTTTTAAGCTATTTATTTATCGATATAAATTCTAAAAAAGATAAATTCATTAATGACAGATAGATTTTGTGTAGAAAAAGCATTCGCAATAATAAGCCTTCTTTATTTGATTATGCGTTTAATTTTAAAATGGAAAAGATTCCATTTGAAAAAAAAAACTACATTTATTATTTTTTGAAATAGTTTAATTAAAATTTTGATTTGGTAATTTAGTTTTTTATTGAATAATACACTTAAATCTGCTTAGAAAAAACACTCGCAATAATAAACCTTCTTTATTTGATTATGCGTTTAATTTTAAAATGGAAAATATTCCATTTGAAAAAAAAAACATTACATTTATTATTTTTTAAAATAGTTTAACTAAAATTTTGATGTGATAATTTATTTTTTGTTTAATAATAAACTTAAATCTACGTAGAAAAAGCACTCGCGATAATAAACCTTCTATGTTTCGTATATTGCTAAATTCACCAAAAGAGCACGTTTCCAAAATACTTTTTTAATGATATAATATTCGTAATATTTATTTAAGTAGCAGTGCTGTTTGCTTTTTATAATTAAAATTTGATATTGTAAAATTGAATTTTGAATTTCATTATGATATATTATTAATTAAAATTTAATTACCTGGAAACTAAATTCTGAACTTCTTTTGTAAGGACATGTAAAATTAATAAAAGGGCATTTGGGTTTTATGTGGAACAGTCAGACCCATCATATCAAAGGCACATGACCTTAGCAAGAGTCTTTCTTGTAAGTCAGTTTTTCACTGTCAACTTTTTTCTTCTCTCTCTAAAAACTCATCTTCTAAACATTGTTCTGCCTTCTCTCTAAAATATCACCCTATTGAACCGTTCAATTGTTGAATAGGTGGTATTCAAACGTTCACCGCGTCAAGGGCTCCGTAACGGACCGTTCTTGTTCCAACCTCTCTTTTTTTCCACCGTTTCTAGCACCTAGGGCATTGCTATTTTACTGAATGCATGCCGCTAGAAGTGTTCTACTTTAAATTTATGTTAATTTCTAGCCTAAAAAGCGAATTCTATCACCATTGGGTGATTTATAGGGTGTCTTTGAATTTTGCTGTGAGAAGCACTATTTAGATCATCCCTGTCAAGTAAACTTTTAAGTTTTCCAGGTAAGGGGAGCTAATTATTTTTGTATGAATTTATTTTATACAAATATATGCAGGTTGAATGTTGAACTAGTGTTCTTCGATGTTAAATTTTTATTGGATAATTATAACTGAGACTGTGGAATTGTGCTTAAATAATTTATGCTTTGGTGTTGAACGTGTCAGTGTTTCTGTTGAAATTAACCTGTTTTGGTTGAAATTGTTTTGGTTGGAGGGTTTGGAGTAAGGGCTATGTGATAGCATGTATATGGGCAGGTACTGTTTAAGGTTACTGTAAGGGGAAGGGTGATATATATAATTGGGTATTTGATGTCTAGAACATTGTAGGACAATTCTAATAACATAGATAATTAAATCATAACTTGTTAAAAGCCTTTCTTTGTTGGTACGATAGAGGGGACTTAAAAACCTGAGTTGGCACATCCTTAATCATAGAGCAGCCCTGGCCTGGTCCAGTGACTAGTCATATGTGCTAGCGCCGAAGGTGTGTCTGATGTGTTCAGACATCTTAACCCTCTCCGGTGACCAATTTGGGGAAAGTAAGATCTCTACTATGATGAAAATTAGACAAGTAATTTACCAAATAAGAACCATGATATATATATATATATATATATATAAACGTAAACTGGTGCATGGAGGGGATCTCACTCATTTTTCTTCTTCTGTTTGGATTGATTGATGTTGTTTGACTGCCAGGATGTATGTATGGTGTTGTTGAGTGGTTGTAAAGCATATGAATGTGAACTACAATGATGTAATTGAGTATGAGGTGGACATCTCAGGGTGAGATGATTGAAAGTGATGTGTGGGGTGTTGTTGTTATGTATAACTGTATGGAGCTTTGAACTGGTATGTCTATCCCTACACTCGAAGCACTGTTCATGCTCAAATAGAGGGGAGCAGTGTAAGTGATGAGAGTAGAGGGAGGTTCTCGTCTATAGTCTTAGAGTTTAGACATAGACAGATGGGGGATTTACCTTGCATAGTGTTGGGGAGTGCCAGCTGAACTACGCAAGTTCAAAGACGACCAATAGTTGGACAGTTATACCAATCCGAATGAGTCGTGTGGTGTTTGAGTCATGGTTTAAATGGTATGCCTTGATTGTTCTTTATATGTAGCTAAGCACGATGATATTTATTGATTGAACTATATGATTACTGCTTGGTTATCTAGCTCACCCTTGCTTTCTTTGTTGTGTGCTGCTTGTGTATGTTTTCCTTTGCAATGATCATCCATGGAAGCAGATGTTGTTGAGGAGGTTCCCTTGGAGCAAGAGTTGGAGGATGCTGATGATGCAATATAGTATTTTTAGGATTTCTAAATTTAAGTTGGTGTTATTTTGAAGTACTCTGAACTGTTTAAGTTTTAAGTTTTGTCTGTAATATCAACTACTGAACTACTATTCTACTCTAACTGTTCTCTTTATTGGAATGTGGACGCCTAAGTTATATGATTGTGGTTATGATATATTTGGGATGCCACATTTAGCATGTAACACCCGGGCACTGACGAGGGTGGGGAGTGATCGTCGGTGCAAGAGGCATGATGTGCAAGGGGCACAGACAAGGAACGGCTCCTGGCAGGCTTCCAGTGGAAGGGACACATGGATAATCGAACATACACCGGAATGAGAGGGATCTAGAGACTGTATAGGTATGAGACTATACAGTTGAATGATATCTTAAAGGGATTGATTTGGCTACTCATATCACCAAATGCATTTGCTTTTCGGTAGTCTGACCCATAAGAGTGAGGACAAAACACATTGAAAAGTCTCGTGGTGATGTGTGGGGACAGTCAATAGTCCCTAAAAGTTGTCGCGGCGTTACACTTTTAATTTTTAAAAATTTAAATTATAAAATATTTTTAAAATGAAAAATATAGTAACAAATTTAATTAATAGTCTACAACGTACTAATAGTCAAAAGTATTTTGTAATAATTTAAATAAATCATTGAACTTAGTTAATATTGAGATTTTGTAAAAAATATTAAATTATTTGATAATAAAAATTAAAAACTGTTCAAAATGAGAAATAGACAATACATTAATTAAAATTACCATTTTTTTACAAATGTATTAAATAGTGTAATATTTTCAATATATGTTGAAGATATACTATTACATTACAGGGTGTATTGATTGTTTCGTGATGATCATGATGTATCAGTTATAAAAGAGTTAGGTTTTAATTATAAGTTATGATTTTTAAGATAAATGTTCGATTCAATATTTGAATTTGATTCACAGTAAAAGAATAGTTGCAAATTGCAAAATCATATAGTATTCATAGACAGCAGGTTTAATGGTTTCCTTTCATATATTTGTTTAATTTTTTTATGATAGATATATGTGATTTATTTATAGTTTTAGAAGTGTAATTTTTATTATAAATTTAGTGTGATTTTTCATGTTTTATATTTTATTTAAATTTTATGTAATAACAAATGATTGATAGATTTTAGTATGTGAGTATAGTTAGACATGTCAAAATTCATAATAATACTTAACATGATTTTATTTAAAAGTATATTTAAATTTAAATAATTATAAAATAATATTTGCAATTACGTTTGTAGTATTTGATGTATCCTTTTTAATTTATTTAAATTTTTCATTTTAAAATATTTAATTGTAAAATAATTAACTTATACAAATGCAATTAAAATTGTTGATGTAAATAATTCATGAATTTGATAAGCTGAGGTGTAATTTAAGTAGTATAATTTATGTTCAAAGTTTAAGTTGTGTGATGAAAATTTGAGAATGCCATCTGAATGGTTATGATGAATTGAGGAGATGAATGTTATTTGATTTATAATTGGTATATTTTGAATTATATATGTGGTATTGGTTTGAATTGGTATGGTTGAGAATGTCATCAAATTGTAAAATTGTGTTTTCTGCAAATTATGCATATTTGTAAGAGAGTTAACTTACTTAGTGATCGTTTGACAAAAAATTCGTTGAACGACTCTAAAATAAAATAATTCACTAACTTAGTAGTTGTTGGAAGCGATTGAATTTCATTAGATAGATTTTAGTAATAAAATCCATATGAGTTTTAGTATTAATAGACTTCTAATCAATGGACAAGTAAGTCTTCTAATCGTTGAATGTATAAACCTTTTAATAATTGTAATTGGATGAGTAAGTCTTTAAACACTATTCACTTAGTAAGTAGATATTCTTGTTGAATAAAACTAACAAAGTTATTCAGTCATTTCAA